TCCTCATCTGGTGAGATCGACCAACGAATTTCTTCTTCATGCACTTTCATACGAAATGAAGGTCCCCCTAACAATGTTATTTCAGGAGATTCATCAAAACCAAGTTTATCTTCGTATCTACGGTATAGAGTGGTTTGGCTAATTATCTTTCATACTGTTCCTGCTACTTTTGCTCGAGTATGTGCATGTGTTAGTGTCTATACACAATACTGGTCCTAAATCAAAGTTATCAAAAGGTTAATGTTAGGCTCTGATCATCAAGGCCTAATGACCCCAAAGAACGCCCTGACCGAGACTGTGTAAGTTCGTAAGCAAGTATAGTTGAGATAATTATATGTAAGCTTGTAAGCATGCAAGTTAAGTTACGAAACCACTTGTCCTAACCTCTCAGTCTAGAGTCATTAAAGTTCAAACCCCCTCGACTAGAATGCATTTTTGTAATAGAAGGTTGAATAAATTTTTTTAGTAGAGTCTAGTCCCCTCTTAGACTCGTCATGGTCGAACCAAGAGTCAAATATGTTAGTCAAGATTCACGGTCAATTTCGAACTCTATTGGCCAGTCCCACCAAGGAGTAAGTCTTAAGTTTGTCATTTGCGGACCACAGGATTTGGGCCTCTAATCTTTAGTCAACACTCTTAAATTGGCAGATATTGGTCATTTACGATAGCAATAATTACTCAGACTTGCTAGCTCTTTTATCAGCCTAAGCCTTCCACAAGGCTTTCTGTGAAGACTGCCAATACTGGAGCTCTATGCATAAATTGGCAGGCCAAGTTTGTCCACTCTGTTACTCATTAGCATACTGAGGATCCATCTTTCCCATCCTCAAAGTGCAGGGTTCTCTTTACATCGGCGGTGGCACTACTGTGACGCTTATAGATGACACCTGTTTTTCCTGCTAAATTTTCTACATTTTTGTCCCTTTTCTTATCCAGCCCAAGTTACTCCACTACCTCCCCGTCAATTAAGCTACGTCATCCTGCCTGCTGGCTCCACAGGCTTGCCAAACTCGTTGCTTGCCTCTCGTTTCTATGAGCAAGCCTCGACAGCAACCTCTTCCTCATCCTCATCTCGACGCTGGCCGCATCTGACCCCAGTTGGTTTTGGTCCACATTCTTTGTCAACCGCTCCCGTCAACAGCAAGTCCTCGTCAAATAGAGGCGTTATTGCTGAAAAAATTAATCTGAGCCATGGTGACGATGGCTTCGGTTCAGGCAGTGAATCTCTTCTTGCCAGGGTCACCCTCGCCTCTCCGACATTTAGATCTGAGTCCCGCCCAGGCGAACGCCTCGTGGTCCCCGTCCAGACCGCAGCATATGCGGCGCGTCTGGCTGGACTCCCTCCGACCTCATCTGTCTCTTCTATCCAATCTGATGTCTCCTCTTTTTCTGCTTCCTCAACTTCCGGCCGCCCAGTTGACAGAAGTCTTCTCCGCATTCGCACCCGGCAACCTATGGCTCTACCGCGTCCCGGTGTTACTGGACGGTCTGGTTGGTTCGATGCCCTAATCAGCTGGCGACCTCCCCCCGACCACATTGAAGTCGGCCTCAAGATCAGTGCGTATTCCGACGATACTAGCCTCGGTACAGGTTTGCTGCCTCAGACGCAGGCCTTGGTGAGTGCAGAACGGGCCACAGGCAGCGCCCAACAGAGGCTTATACCGGCTCGCCTCCAGACTATCCCACAGGCCATACAAGCCCCCCGACGCCTCGGATACCGTGTTATATGGGGCCCTCGGATGTACGAACCGATCGACTTGCGCATGTACAACTATGGTATCACACCACAACTTGACCGTGAGAGGGCGGAATCCAAGGTCGTAGATGCGGTAAGTTGATTGTTGTTGACATCTTTCATAGGTATCTTTCTATAAGTGCATAGTTTGGTTGATTATTACGAAAATAACCGAGTTTCTAATTATATCCCGAGATAAAATTGTTTTGGACCCTTTTATTTCATATTAAATTGCCTGATGAAAAGATGCATAGGCCGATCTCACCAGAAGATGGCGACTTATTGGTGTTGTTTTCCAGTCATTTAATGCTACTCCAACTCAGTTTGACGCACTCCAAGGTAAGGCCGGCTAGCCTACTTGACTGAATGTCCGCTTAAAGTCTTTGAAAGAATGAGTTCTGTCTCTGATGATGTCTGTCCAGTGGTATGATGGACGAAGACAGCCTATTTTCACTCGAAGCGAGGAAGGAACAGAACAGCATAAATCGGCCGTCCTTTTCTGACGAGATCGGCCTAGGAATCTGGACCCATTCGTATGAAATGAAAGCCTTCGCAACAATATTATATGTTTATTGTGACTCGAATTATCATTTTGAATGAAAAATTTATATGAAGAAACTCGTAAATTGGTCTCGTCCGAATTCAATTGATGATTGCTTTGGATTTAATTCTGTTGAATTGTACGAAGAAGTTCGCGACTCTCTGTCCTTAAACTCTGAGGAACCGGTGCTGAGCTTTCGTCTGTATTGTGGCAGACATCGTAATAGCGAGAAGCCAAACTTTACGAGTCACGTGAAATGTGATAACTTTAACTATATTCAGGGCTATTCCAGCTCCCTCTTGCTCAACGGCCCCTCTTACTCATTTTCTTTAAGCCTCTCCAGCAGCCATAAATACTTTGCATTCTATTCCCTACAATGTTTTGTTTATTTCTATGCAATGTAAGGTCCCCTTAGCTTGCAAAACACCATTGCTTATCCTGTATTAACCATATGTTTTTCTCGTTCTTATTATTGTACACATATAATTTTACAGACGACTTTATGTTCAGATAATATCTTCTGAATGAATCGACATGTTTATCCCACCTTGTAAAACCCTAATCTAAAAAAGGCTCAAAAAATTCTAAAAAAGAAAGGCTTGACTGAGGAAAGTGTTTATTTCTCCTCATGCATTGTTGTGATGTTCTACCAATCTGCATGAATGTAGGATATACATGAAGTAACCAAACAAATCATAGGATACCTTATTTAGATCGAAAAATTACCTTTAAGAAGTGAGTAGGTTTGCAGCCGGCCACATTTTCTCTTTGCTTAGTATATTGTTGCGGATTTACGTAAACTATGATTTATAGTTCTATTACATGACAAGCGAAGTCCGACAGGGATTTATTGGGGTCGCACGATGGTGAGCAGAGAACTTGGCACAACCCAAAAGTATTCACCTCAAGGCAATATTTCTTCCGTTTCTATTGAGGCAACTTTATGAATTTCTTTCCAATTACTTTTTCTTCGGAGGGGAAGTCGAGTCATACTAAATAATTAAGGAATGATTACAGGTTTAATTGTTATTCATTAATGCAGGGCACGTTGACTGATTATTTTCCACCTCGTAGTCCAATTTTTATATTGGCCTTCAATGTTTTCGCCTCTTAGATACTCAACTTTAAATTACGATAAACAACTTATTCCTTTAAGAAGTTACCAAGACGTCTTGAGATTTATAGTTATAATAGACTTGGTCAACTTAATTATATTGGTAGGTAACTTAGGGGAACGCACCTAGTCCGGAATCCATTATATGCATAATCATTTCCAAAGTCGGACCGTAGAAGTGGTACATTCCCAGACGTTTCACCGGCATTGTCAGTGAGTTTTGCCATTCTTATCACCATACTACAACGCGTCAGAGACAAGTGAAGCCGATCATTTGACCAAACGTGTGCTAACAGTTGTGGTATCTCCCCTTCTGCCCTATGCTATTCGCATTTCCTATATCCTCCTATCACACCTTTACTTTTACAATTTTTACCGTGCTTATTTCGATCTAGTGTAGTGTGTTCCTTTGAGCGACATTCATGAAAACCCTCCACACTCCACACTCCACACTGTCGTTCTCACTCCCTTCGCCCTTGTGTTGGGAATATTGATCCGAATCTGCCATTTTTTTACGCCGTCCTCCTTCTATAGGTCTTATCACAGTCTCTCTCTTGCCCCGTAAGATCCGTCTGCTATCTCCCTGGTTCACGTATTTCACTCGACCCCTGCCACCCCATCTGTGCTACTCGAGGCGTTATTACCCCTCTCATGCGTCTGGGTGACTAATTCGAGGCTAACCCTTTAAGTAAATCTCATGGTCACGCCTTTACTACATGGGCCACGTCTATGGTAAAAACAGGCCTAGTATCAGCCAACTAGCTCCAGTCTCCACTATGTCTATCCTGTTTCTATCCATAATATTAAGTCTATGACTTCCCATGCCATAGTCTCTTGTGTCCCAACCCACAGATGTTGTGGTACTGCTTGCTTTGATTAGGTTCAATGTTGAACCACAGGCAGGGGTCGAGTTAAATACGTGAACCAGGGAGATAGCAGGCGGATCTTACGGGGCAAGAGAGAGACTGTGGTAAGACCTAGCGAAGGAGGACTTCGTAACAATATGGCAGACTCTGATCAACATTTCCAGTACAAGGGTGAAGGGGGTGAGAACGACAGATTGAGATGTGGAGGTTTCTCATGAAGCCGCTCAAAAGGGCACACCGTACCACATTTAATTAAGCAAGTAAAAAATTGTAAGAGTGAAAGCGTGATAGGAGGATATAGGAAATATAAATAGGCCAGGGCAGGAGAGATACCATAACTGTTTTGCACACGTTTGGTCAAAGGATTGGCTTTACTTGTCTCTTTGACGAGTTGTAATATGGTGCTACAAATTGTAAAGCTCACTGACGATGCCGACTAAGATGCCGGCGAAACGTCTGGAAATGTACCACGTCCACGGTACGACTTTAGACATGATTATGCACACAATGGACTGAGGACAAGTTAAGTTCCTCTAAGTCTTCTTACCAATATAACCAAGTTGCGAAAACAAGATCAAACAGCTTCTATAAATGTTATTCGATTAACTTAACTATAATTAATCGCTTTGATTATATATATGGATAATGCCTACCAAATTTTGAAATCCGGAAATCTTCTC